AAGCTTGGGCGGAACATTTGTCTGACTTAATTGACAACTGGTCCGGCGACTTTGAGCCGCCAAAAAAACCGAAAGTCTTGCAAGAACCACCGCCGCTTCCCCTGGGTGTTGTTCCTGAGATGGACGCCTCGTTTGCGCATGAAACGCCTGAGGCGTCAAATGCGTCCGTCAATGACCCTCGATTTAAGAAGCTTCATGAGTTCGTTAAGCGTTGGGAAGGAGACTTTGTAAATCATCCAAGTGACCCGGGTGGTGCAACCAACATGGGCATCACAATTAGTACGCTCGCAGAGTGGCGCGGAACTGAAGTCACGGTTGACGACGTCAAAAATTTGAGCAGGGCCGAAGCGGATCAGATTTTTCGCACAAGGTATTACGCCAGCAATCGCTGCGGCGAGATGCCGGAACGAATGGCAATGGTCATCTACAACTGTTCTGTTCTTTCGGGCCGCAAACGCGCAATCACGCTCGTCCAAGAAGCGTTCAATGGGCTTGGCCTTTTTGTTGACGGTGTGCCCCTGGTTGTCGACGGGATTCTGGGACGGATGACAATGAGCGCTTTGAAAGGCACGGATGCGTCGTTGTTTGCGGACGCGTTTATGGATCGTCAGGAGGAATATCTGCGCCAACTCAACACTTTTTCGACGTTCGGGAAAGGCTGGTTGAACCGAATGGGCGCCTTGAGGGAGTTCGTAAATACATTGCAAAAAGGAGCGGGCGCTCGTCCGGCGAGGCAAATGACTGTTACCGAAAACAATCGTGATCTAGGAACTCTTATCGATCAACTTGCTACTTCAGAGAGCTCAAATTCCAGAGAAGTCTTGCAAAAACTGCTACTTGAACAACTTCGGTCAAACGATCGGGTCGCCACAGAAAAATCGATTTCTGCCAAATTGCGTGCTTTTTTCAGAGGTAGCGGGAACGAGGGTGAGAACTCCGCGAATTTACTGTCTGACGCCGCAGCGATAATTTCGACCGGACCTGACGGAAAACCTCCCTTGACGCCGATAAATGCTGCATTGGGACAAGTAATCGGTCGTGTCCTTAATGGAAAGAAGTCAATCATAGGACTCATTGGGGTGTCTCTAACTACGTTACTACCGGAAACTGCATTAGCTGGTGACATTGTCTCCTTCGTCTCAGAACATCAGGAGGTGCTCTTGACGTTGTTTTCAGTGATTACCGGTTGGGGAATGTTCGGAAAAATGGATAAGGCAATTCGTCTTATGGGCTTGATAAGCGAACTTAAACACTAGTTGATTCGGCAAACTGACTTTCTGTGGAGCGGGTTATCCAGATCCGTTTTTCCGGAGGACAAGGGACTTTCCTACCTGATTTTGTCTTACCATCTGCGGTGCGCGTGGTTCTAGCTGCCTGATTGTTTTCTATATGAAAAACACGTCAGGATAGCAGTCGTCGCATCTAATTAAGCAAGAGAGCTCTCCATTTTTTCTTGAGAAATTATTATAAATTGTAGTTTTGACCTATGCTATCACGCACAAAAGGGGGCGAAATGGCAATGGAATTCCAAACCAAAAACAGTCAAGTGAAGGAAGAGGCCGAGAATTCCGCTGATGGCTATCTGTTCAGCGAGACTGCACAGCTTGAAGCAGAACTGAAGCTGGTCGAGAACGCTCGCCACATCGATAGGGCTCAGTTGTTCGGCGTTGCGTTTTCCGGAGGGGGTATACGGTCGGGAGTCTTCTGCCTCGGGGTAATGCAAAAACTTGCCGCTTCCGGTATATTCAAACACGTTGACTACCTTTCGACAGTTTCTGGAGGTGGTTATATTGGATCTGCTCTGTTGTGGTGGTTATCCGGAAAGTCATCACAAACCGATATGGACGCGGCGAATAGATTCGACACTTCCGAAAATTTGCCCTGGGGTGTCTCTGATCCTGAAGAAGTTGAAATATCTCCCAAAAAGATCTTAAGCTACCTGCGCAGCAACGGAAAATATTTGACCCCGGGCAATGGGATCACTCTTTTGTCCGGTGTAAGTGTCGTTTTGAGAGCGGTGTTGCTCAACCTTTTGGTATGGATTCCTCTTTTCGCTGCTATCTTTGTGCTTCTAAACTGGTTAAGTTCTGAGTATCCAAATATTGGTAATATTTTGCCTATCTCAGGATATTCTTCAGATTATTCAGTATATAAAATTCCCTTACTTGGTGCATTGCTGTTTAGTCTTGTTTTTTTAACGTTCTCAGTGCAGTTTTCAGTATTGTCCTGGTCACGTAGACCAAAAAACAATGCGACACCTGCAACAAACCCCACAGAGCCTGTTGATAACAGGACTAACATAAGAAAGTTTCTGCCTGGGGTAGCTGAAGGCTTGGTGTTGTTTTCGATTTTTTTGTTGTTGTTTCAGCAGGATCACTTATCAGTTCGATCATTAAAATTGAGCCAAGATTGCTAGCAAATGTCGACTGGATAAAATGGCCCCAAATGTATTTCATGTGGCTACACCACCATGTGGGATACGCAATTCCGATCTTTGTATTAGCTGCCATTGTCTCGCTTTGTGCGTCGGTCAATGATCGATTGATCGAAAACAAGGGAGTAATTCTTTCCAGCATCGCTCTACTTTTAGCGCTTGCTGTGTTTGTCGAAAGTGGCCGCCAAGACATAACTCTTCGCTCGACAAGCGTTGCGCTGCCGGGATTTCTGGTCGTCATCAGCGCCATGATTATCAACTATCGCCTTGGCCGACTGTTTCGTCATCTGCGTCGGAAACCACCCCTGTCGGTTCGTTATTCAGGGCGCAGATCTTTTGAGATCTGGGGCGGACGTTTCCTGATTTGCATAGCGGTTCTTCTGGCTATCGGAACCTTGCCGCTGGTGCACAGCCAAGTTGGCGCAGATGTTGACAAAAATGGTGGTGGATTGGCTGGATTACTCGGCGTTCTGGGCGGTGTTGTCAGCGCGTTTTGGGGATTCTACCAATCCCGTGGGAAAGGATCCGGCGGGCCGAAAACTGATCTGATCCTGAAGTTGGGAGCAGTGGCGCTTCTCTATGGAGTTGTTCTCATAAGTTTCGAAGTCGCAAAAAAAGTGTCTCTCGCTTCAGGCTTTACTCAATCTGAAACGAGTGAAACCACAAAAGATTCAGCTTCTAAACTGTTGTTCGACATCGAAGATAAGAACGTGATAACTCAAGCTGTATTCTGGTCCTTCTTTGTAATCGCTATTTCTACCGGAGTATTTACGAATCTGAACTATATATCGCTGGGGCGATTTTACCGTGATCGTCTGGTCGAAGCTTTTATGCCTGACCTACAAAATGTGGAGCAGGACGAAATTTCTGCCGCAGCCTTGGCAGATAAACTCAAGCTCTCGGAAACATGGCAAAACAAAAAAGGGCCATTTCCGCTAATAAATACAAATGTAGTGTTGGCGAACTCAGGCATCAGAGAGTTTCGGCAACGTGGCGGTGCAAGTTTTATCTTGACGCCGTTTATGTGCGGCAGCGATGCGACAGGTTGGCAGCGGACCGAGCAGTTCGATGGCAATGAAATGACGCTTGCAACAGCCATGGCGATATCTGGCGCAGCCGCCAATCCCCGCGCGGGAGTTGGAGGAAAGGGAATTACCCGCAGCATCGCTGTTTCACTGGTGATGAACCTACTCAACTTCCGGCTTGGATATTGGGTGAACAACCCAAGGAAGTCGAAGTGGTTCCGATTCAATATACGGCCTAACCACTTCTATCCAAGTGCAGCCTATGCAGTTCCAGGTAGGGGTTACAGGGAATGCTCGCACTTCCTCGAACTGAGCGACGGAGGGCACTTCGAGAATTTAGGCCTATACGAACTTGTTCGCAGACGCTGCAAATTCATCGTTGTTTGCGACGGAGGTCAAGACAACTTAGCCTCTTATTCCGACTTTGTTACTGCAATCAGACGTATCGAGGAAGATTTTGGTGCCAAGATTACTTTCATCGAGAATGCGGGTCCAGAAAGACTGATCGCGAAACCCAATGAAGACACTTATCCGAGTGGCGCGCACTACGCTGAGAAAGGTTATTTCGTAGCCAAAATTGACTACGGCAGGAAACGCGGTCGCGACCCTTGGGCGAAAACCGGTCTCATCCTCTATCTGAAAACAACGATGATCAATAAGGAACTTTCTATGAAGGTTAAAGGATACAAGGGGGCCAATCCCGGTTTTCCGGACCAGAGTACTGGCGATCAGTTTTTTGATGATGATCAGTTTGAGGCTTACCGGGAACTTGGCTATCGGATCGCAGCGCAAGCGATCAGCGATCTGAAACTGGAAGACAACTTTAGAGAAGGTCGACCTGCATTTGACGCCGATTGGGCGAGCAGCATTCTCGAGAAAGCCAGCCAAAGATCTAATAGTGGTAAGTGAAGGCGATGTTTCATGCTCCCAAAGCGCTATTTTTTCTGAGCTGAAGTTAGGAACCAAGACCCAGAAATCTTACCCAGCGCCTTATTTCGGCGTTGCCTGTCGGCCCACAGTACGTCGGTACTTCGAACCTTCGCGGTTTCTCGAACCATTTCGAAAGCTGACATTCGTTGCTATCAGAGTAAATGGTTGAGATGCGGGCGGAGCTGCCTTGCGCCAGAGATGCACCGATTACTGCTTTTTGTAGTCCGACCCAAACCGGTCGTTAGCGATCAGGAATCAGACCATAAGCCTCATAGGTTTATGTTGCCAAAAAAGTAAGCGGCTGAGATCGCTTGCATGCCCGGTGCTATCGACAAGAGAAGGATGAACAGACCGGGGGCGCCTTTCGTTGATTTTCAGCAATTGAAGATCCTGCCCTTCAAGTATTCAAAATAGGGAGATTTGAAATGCTAACTAGGCGAAACCTAATTTCAGGCGTGGCGGCGACGACATTTTCAGCCAAACTCTCAGCATCCGCGATGGCGCAAGCCAAGCGAGGCGGGCACCTACGCATGGCTGTTTCCGATGGAACAGAGGTGGCTCGGTTTGTCTGAACAGTTCGGGGCGTTTTGCTAAGTGGATTTCCGCCTCGATTATGCCGCCACCATCATCGGCGTCAGCGCGTTGAAGTAGGCCTGATCCGGCGTCTGCCGGTCAAGGGATGAATGTGGGCGTCGTGTGTTGTAAAAGGTCAGATAGCGGCCGATGCCAGCGCGGGCCTCGGACACGGTCTTGTAAGCGTGGAGGTAGACTTCCTCGTATTTGATAGACCGCCAAAGCCGCTCGACGAAGACATTGTCCCGCCAAGCGCCCCTGCCGTCCATCGAGATGGCGATCTCAGCTTTCTTCAGCACTGCCGTAAAGTCGATGGAAGTGAACTGCGAACCTTGGTCAGTGTTGAATATTTCTGGCTTGCCATAGCGAGCCAGTGCCTCCTCGACTGCCTCGATGCAGAAGGCTGCCTCCATAGTGATCGACAGCCGCCACGACAGAACCCTCCGGCTGAACCAGTCCACAACGGCACAGAGGTAGACAAAACCGCGAGCCATCGGAACGTAGGTTATGTCCATTGCCCACACCTGGTTGGGCCGGGTGACCGCCAGCCTTCGCAGGAGATAGGGATAGATTTTGTGACCTGGCGCTGGTTTCGAGGTGTTCGGGCGGCGATAGATCGCCTCGATGCCCATCTTCTTCATCAGCGTGGCGACGTGAAGCCGCCCGACACTCAGCCCTTCTCCATTCAAGAGCCCTTGCAACATCCGGCTTCCCGCGAACGGGTGGTTGAGATGCAGTTCGTCGATCCGGCGCATCAGAGCCAGATCGCTCTCAGACACCGGACGAGGCAGATAATAGACACTGCCACGGCTGAAGCCGAGAAGCTTTGCCTGGCGCACAACCGATAGCTTATGCTCGCGGTCGATCATTTCTTTCCGCTCAGCAATCCCGCCTTGCCGAGCGCTCCGGCTCAAAAATCATTCTCCAGCGTCAGCTCCCCGATCTTGGCATGCAGCGTTTTGACATCGACGGTCGGCCCTGCCGGTACCGCCTTCGATTCATCGCCGAAAACGCTTGTCGCTCCCGTAAGTAGCTGGTCTTTCCACTGCTTGATCTGGTTGGCGTGCACGTCGAACTGCTGGGACAGTTCCACCAGTGTCTGCTCGCCTTTGATCGCGGCAAGCGCAACTTTCGCCTTGCAAGCCGGGCTGTGGTTCCGGCGCGGTCGTCTCGTCATCGTCTCTCCTGTTTCCGGCATCTAAGCCAAAGTCAGGCAGAAATTCCACTTATCCCAGCTGTGCAAATTTCCCGAGCCAGCTCTCTTGCCCCATGTCCTCAAAAGCGGCGGCAAGGTGATTGTCGAGGCGACCGACAGGCATGGAGGGCGGTTCGAGGTAAGTCGTATTTGGGGACAATCGCCGAATGTCTATGTAGATGGCAAGCTGCGTCCGGGCGTTTCCACTAAGGAAACCATTATTGCCAAGCCACTATATTTTGGCCAGAAGGACCTCGCTGCCGCAGGAAAAGGCTTTGGACACGACCTTGTCGAAAAGCTCATGGGGGATAGCCTGAAAGCTGTCCGACAAAAAATCGAAGAACGCTCGAGCGATCTGAAAACAGCGATAGAAAGTTTCAATTCGGTCCGCAGCGATGCCGAGGACAAGCAGGTGCTGGAGGATGAACTCAAGGATGTGGAGTTTAATCTTGAGCATTTCGACAAGCACGGCGTCAAGGACAAGCTTCAAAAGCAATTAGCCTATAGCGAGGACCTGAGCTACTGCGAAGGTATCGACGAGACGGCCCTGGGCTGGCACAAGGCAATTGACGATGCGGCGACCCAAGCCGAGGAAGACTTCAAGCTGATTGTAGCCCATGCATCCGATCACAACGCTGATTTCTTCACACGCTATGCGGTTAAATTGCAGGAAATGAATGGAACCGTTGTAACCGCCAAGACCCTTGCTGCCACGATCAAATCCAAGTCTGGCGATCTAGATGCGCTACGCCAAGAACTTGAAGGCATTCGCGATGGCCTATCGGAAGAATTTGCAGAGACCGAACGGAATTTGGTCAAGGCGCTCGAAGAACAAGGCGTTACCTCGATCCAGCCGGATGCCTATGTAAAGCTCGTGCAGCGCAAGCAGGAGCTTGAGGCGCAGATCGACGATCTGACCAAGCGCACCAGTAAGAAGAAATCCAAGCTTGAGGCAGTTCTGACTGCCGTGGCTTCGCTGGATAGTGCCTGGCATGATGAGTTCAAGCTCATCGCGGCGGCGTTGAAGATCATCAATGAATCGCAAGGATCGCTGCGGGTAGAGGCGGAGTTCAAAGGTGACCGCAGTGCATTCAAGAACCACATTGATGGGCTGCTTCGCGGCAATAATCTCCGCAAGGAATATTATGAGGCCATGCCCGCTGCCTATACCGATTTTGGCGAGATTTTCAAAGACCTCAACAAAGCTTCCACTCACGCCAAAGGAAAGTCCGAAGAGTTCAAGAATCTCTTCATGGCGAAGTTAGACGCACTTACAGGTTACCAGGTACCAAACAGCTACACGGTGACATACCATGGCAAGGCGCTGTCATCACATTCTCTCGGCCAGCGCGCCTCTGCAATGATGCTCTTCCTGCTGAGCCAAAAAGGGAATGATCTCTTGCTCATCGATCAGCCTGAAGATGATCTCGACAGCCAAACCGTCTATGAGGAAGTGGTGAAACTGCTTCGCAAGCTAAAGCCGAACCAGCAATTCATCTTCGCAACGCACAATGCGAATTTCCCGGTGCTGGGTGATGCTGAGACTATCACCACGTGCAGCGCCAGCGATAATGAAATCGCCATATGGGTCGGCAATATTGACGACAAAGCCTGTCAGGCGAGCGTTATCTCCATCATGGAAGGCGGCCCGGAAGCCTTTGAAAGGCGCAAGACGATCTATCAAATCTGGAAAGCACGTGCCGTTTGAAGATGGTTATTGTCAAATGAGGCACAGCCTCTTCGGGCATGGCCGGTGCGGAGAACCTTCGTCGCAGCATCTCCGATGACATGGAAAGCAGATATTGGCCAGCTTTGCGAACGCAACCAAGATGGGCGAATGTCAGCGAAGTCCAATCGAAGTACGCAAGCCGACAGTCCACTCCCGGCCCCAATCCTGACGGTCGTAGAACGGACTGCAAATCGCCCCACCTCATCGCATTCAATCCCACGCATTTGAAACCCAGAAAGCAACCCCGGGCACTCTACGCGCGGCGAAGCGTGGGGCTGCTGAGGCTTAAGTTATTGAAATTAAGCGAAAACTTGGTAGCGGAGGAGGGACTTGAACCCCCGACACGCGGATTATGATTTAGGCTCAAATCTCAATCAGGTCGCTGCGTTCCGAGCCAGGCCGTTTTACGAACCGATTAATAGTGTTCAGGAAATAGTCTTCGTTCTGCATCAAACTTATCCAGCATGTTGCAGCTAAGCCCAGAAGCATTTGCACCCCTTTTGCAACCCAGAACATGGACTACAACATCCCGTTCCTTCAGTTGTGGAGAGACACCGGTCGGCTCACTAGGCGTTTAAGTAACCGATAACCTATTCTTCGCGAGCGATAATGAGGGATGACATAAATTCTGGGTCTGCCAAGAGTGCACTTGCCACTTTGCTTACATCGACTGCATCGCCCTGTTCGCCCTTAAGTTTTTCGCCGTAAGTCTGGTAAACTTCTTTGGCAACTGTGGCAATTACTTCGGGCATGACTGTCAATTCTCTGGAGTGATTTTCCCAAATTCCGGCAGCTACTATGCGAACCAGATCAGGGGTTAAGAGCGCAGTCCTGATCTCGTCGGCGCTTGGCATGGGACCCGGTTGCCCGCGAAGGGCGGCCACCTTTTCGGGATCCATTGCGATTGATTCGGATACCGCGGCAACCAAGTCCGCGAATTTTTGTTTTATCAGCGTTTCGGCAATTTGTTCTGTTGATCCGAGAGCATCTGTTTTTGAAGACTGTTCGATGATCGCATTTTCGAGTTCAGAAACATTGGCTTGAAGCGTGTCGAAAAGTTCTTTTTCACTTGTTTCGACGTGAGATCTCAGCTCACCAATGGCGGATTTGCTCGCCACTTCTGCTTGGGTAACGGTTTCCTCTAGTGAAGCAATTCGATCTCCAAGTTTGTTGTTCTCGTTCGACAAATAAACGGAGAACAGGCCAAGAGCTGCAGCGATTGCGATAAAAATCCATTGCATCTGTGTCATTGCATTGCCCCCGGATTTGCTTTGAAGTCGGTTGGAATGGGTGCCTGGTTGTTCAGAATAGCTTTCAGTGCCTCGAGCGCCTGATCGCTGGGCAAGGTCGAGACCAAAACCAACAACAAGGAGGCTTGCGAAGCATCTCGCGAAACCCTAAGCGCAAACCACAGCAAGCCCATCAGCGATAGACCGGATGCGCCGGAAATCGCCAGAAACGCCTGGGGATTGTGTGCATTGGTTATAAGTAAATATGTCATTACCAGAAGTAGAAGTGCAATAAATGCGAATGTTGCATAGAACATCTGACTTACTTTACTTGCCTCAATTAGTAATTTCTGTTGAACTGCATCGATAAGAGCAAGCGTATTGTTGGCGCCATAACCACCTCGCGGCTGTTCCAAGGAATCGGACAACAATCCCATTAATCTTGATGAAATATTGGCTTTCATTATTTGCCAGCCTCCGAGATAATCATGTTGAATTCGCGGCCTACTTCAGACCGAACGGCAATGTAAGGTCTTGGATTTATTGCAATTCTCAACAAGGTTTCGCTGAGTGCCGGAAGAATGCTGTCCGTGTATTTCCGATCCTTGTTGGCAATAACTCTTCGATCATCGCGGTAATCTTTCAAAGCAAAAGCAAGACCCATGGAGTAACAAACAGACAGGTCAATTACACCGCTCCAGTCTTCTGGAAGAGCAGCGGCCATGACGGTTGCCTTATGCACCCCGTCTCGGAACTCGATGCAGTTGCCAGGCGCAAGAACCGAAACAAGAGCCGCGTCCAACGCGTCGCGCACAGAAACGAGAATTATATCTTCGTCGTAACCGTCTCGACAGAAGCTCCTGGCGAATCTGTTGAGGAGGTCAGACAGCGCACCGAGCGACAAGTCTTCAATATCGATCGCGTTTAAATCAACGTATCTTGCCAATTCTTTCAGAACAGAGTGATCGGTTTCGGTTAGCCTGCTGCTCAGACGTCTTTGACTGTCCTTTGCAAGATCTGCACTAGAGACATCGTGACTGCGCCAGTGCGCCAGTATCAGAATAGTTTCGGCACCACCGTCAGCAGCCTCGTGCAGGGCATCCAATGTGGCGTTCATAAACAACCGCTCCTCTGGGACACCTGCTTTCTGGGCCGTTTCGACGAATGCGCTCACCTTTGCATCGAGACCACGTCCAATTACCTGCCAAGGATCCTGGTTACGGTCGACAATATCGGCAACTGCCGCTTGCTCTTTAGCAAAGTCACCGCGACCGTCGGTCGGATTGGTTTTTCGAAGCACAATATCTGAGCGAAAGGCCTCTTCTCCAACGGGAAGCCCAATCAGAACCGCAGTGTTTCCGATATGCGCCTGTTTTGAAAAAATATCAGCCACGGTTCTGATCCCGCGGATCGGGGGGCACTGATTTCTTTTCCACGACGTAAAAGTCACCTACCGAGTCTTGAATGTAATAGTATGTTTTACCGAGTTCTTCTTGCGTAAAGTTTGACTCGAATGCCTGCCTGTTGTCTTCCAGCTGTTTCCAAAGCGACTGATCCTTTTGATCGCGCGCAACTATTTCAATCGATTCTCTCCCATATTTGGCAACAACATCCTTGGATGGGGCTTCACCTTTGAAAACAGCAAATAAACGTGCTGTCAGTGAAGGTCGACTCTCAACAGTCTTAAATGGGATCTTCATCTTCACGACCATGGTC